TAGATCTTCTTGAGGCTCCCCGTGCGGCAGACGTTTCGGGCTGCGGCCTCGTCCAGCATGAGAGCGGAGAGCGAGTAGAGGCACGTGCTCGTCACCTCGTCACCACCTCCTCCACCTCCTCCACTGACGATGGGTGGCAGCAACGCGCAGAGTGGGGAGAGCACGTGCTTGGCTGTGTGGTGGTGGGGGGTAGAGGTGGGGAGAGGAGGTGGTGAGTGGTGGTGGTGGTGAGTGGTGGTGGTGAGTGGTGAGTGGTGGTGGTGAGTGGTGGTGGTGAGTGGTGAGTGGTGGTGGGGGGTAGAGGTGGGGAGAGGTGGTGGTGAGTGGTGGTGGTGAGTGGTGAGTGGTGGTGGGGGGTAGAGGTGGGGAGAGGTGGTGGTGAGTGGTGGTGGTGAGTGGTGAGTGGTGGTGGGGGGTAGAGGTGGGGAGAGGTGGTGGTGAGGGGTGGTGGTGAGTGGTGAGTATTGGTGGTGAGTGGTGGTGGTGAGTGGTGGTGAGTGGTGGTGAGTTGTGGTGGTGAGTGGTAGTGAGTGATGAGTGGTGGTAGTGAGTGGTGGTGAGTGGTAGTGAGTAGTGGTGGTGAGTGGTGGTGGTGAGTGGTGGTGGTTGTGGTGGCGGTGGTGAGTGGTGGTGAGTTGTGGTTGTGGTGGTAGTGAGTGGTGGTGGTGAGTGGTGGTGAGTTGTGGTTGTGAGTGGTGGTGAGTGGTGGTGGTTGTGGTGAGTGGTGGTGAGTGGTGGTGGTGGTGAATGGTAGTGAGTGGTGAGTGGTGGTGAGTGGTGGTGGTGAGTGGTGGTGGTGGTGAGTGGTGGTGAGTGGTGGTGAGTTGTGGTTGTGGTGGTAGTGAGTGGTGGTGGTGAGTGGTGGTGGTGAGTGGTAGTGAGTAGTGGTGGTGAGTGGTGGTGGTGAGTGGTGGTGGTTGTGGTGGCGGTGGTGAGTGGTGGTGAGTTGTGGTTGTGGTGGTAGTGAGTGGTGGTGGTGAGTGGTGGTGGTGAGTGGTGGTGAGTGGTGGTGGTGAGTGGTGGTGGTGAGTGGTTGTGGTGGTGGTGAGTGGTGGTGAGTGGTGGTGGTGGTGAGTGGTAGTGAGTGGTGAGTGGTGGTGGTGAGTGGTGGTGGTGAGTGGTGGTAGTGAGTGGTGAGTGATTGAGTGATGGTGGTGAGTGGTGGTGAGTGGTGAGTGGTGGTGAGTGATGGTGGTGAGTGATTGAGTGGTGAGTAGTGGTGAGTGTTAGTGGTGAGTGAGTGGTGAGTGAGTGAGTGAGTGGTGAGTAGTAGTGGTGAGTGGTGAGTGAGTGAGTGGTGAGTAGTGGTGAGTGTTAGTGGTGAGTGAGTGGTGAGTGAGTGAGTGGTGAGTAGTAGTGGTGAGTGGTGAGTGAGTGAGTGGTGAGTAGTAGTGGTGAGTGTTAGTGGTGAGTGTTAGTGGTGAGTGAGTGGTGAGTGAGTGAGTGGTGAGTAGTAGTGGTGAGTGGTGAGTGAGTGAGTGGTGAGTGTTAGTGGTGAGTGGTGAGTGTTAGTGGTGAGTGTTACCTAGCTCAGCCCTGTTGGAGGGTGAGCGTGAGAGGTTCCGGACCAGGCAAGACGCCGCGCTGAGTGATTGAGTGATGGTGGTGGTGAGTGATTGATGGTGGTGAGTGGTGAGTGGTGGTGAGTGGTGAGTGTTAGTGGTGAGTGAGTGGTGAGTGTTTTACCAAGCTCAGCCCTGTTGGAGGGTGAGCGTGACAGGTTGCGGACCAGGCAAGAGGCCGCGCTGAGTGATTGAGTGTCCAGGTCCGGGTTGAGGCTCTGAGCCAGGACAGGCCCCGCACCAAACTGTTGAAGTAAAATCTTCCCCAGGGTGCGGGCAGCCTAAAACACAAAGATAAAGATCCCCCGTATAGCCTCAGCAGACTGTAGCACCACTGCCATCACCACGATCAACGTGGTCACCACTACCACCACTACACCATCACCACCACCACCACTATCATCAACACCATCAACGTCGTCACCACTACCACCACTATCACCACCACCACCGTCACCACTACCACCACCACCATCACCGTCGTCACCACTACCATCACCACCACCACCACTATCATCAACACCATCACCACGATCAACGTCGTCACCACTACCACCACTACACCATCACCACCACCACTACCATCAACACCATCACCGTCGTCACCACTAATACCACTACCATCACCATCACCACCACCACTACCATCACCACCATCAACGTCGTCACCACTACCACCACTATCACCACCACCACCGTCACCACTACCACCATCACCACCACCACCACTACCATCAACGTCGTCACCACTACCACCACTACGACCATCACCACCACCACTACCACCACTACCATCACCACCACCACCGTCACCATCACCACCACCATCACCACCCACCACCCACCACCGTCACCACCAGTGGTAGTCGTGAGCCAGTCGTGAGTCAGTCGTGAGTCAGTCGTGAGTCAGTCACGAGTCAGTCGTGAGTCAGTGGTGAGTTAGTAGTGAGTTAGTCGTGAGTTAGTCGTGAGCCAGTCGTGAGCCAGTCGTGAGTTAGTCGTGAGTCAGTCACGAGTCAGTCACGAGTCAGTCGTGAGTTAGTCGTGAGTCAGTCGTGAGCCAGTCGTGAGTCAGTCGTGAGTCAGTCGTGAGTTAGTCGTGAGTTAGTCGTGAGCCAGTCGTGAGTCAGTCGTGAGTTAGTCGTGAGCCAGTCTTGAGTCAGTGGTGAGTCAGTCGTGAGTCAGTGGTGAGTCAGTCGTGAGTTAGTCACGAGTCAGTCGTGAGTCAGTCGTGAGTCAGTCGTGAGTCAGTCACGAGTCAGTCGTGAGCCAGTCGTGAGTCAGTCGTGAGCCAGTGGTGAGTCAGTCGTGAGTTAGTCACGAGTCAGTCGTGAGTCAGTCGTGAGTCAGTCGTGAGTCAGTCGTGAGTTAGTCGTGAGCCAGTCGTGAGCCAGTCGTGAGTTAGTCGTGAGTCAGTAGTGAGTCAGTCGTGAGTCAGTCGTGAGTTAGTCGTGAGTCAGTCTTGAGTCAGTCGTGAGTCAGTCGTGAGCCAGTCTTGAGCCAGTCGTGAGTCAGTGGTGAGTCAGTCGTGAGTTAGTCGTGAGTTAGTCGTGAGTCAGACGTGAGTCAGTCGTGAGCCAGTCGTGAGTCAGTAGTGAGTCAGTCACGAGTTAGTCGTGAGTCAGTCGTGAGTTAGTCGTGAGTCAGTCGTGAGCCAGTCGTGAGTCAGTCGTGAGCCAGTCGTGAGCCAGTCGTGAGTCAGTGGTGAGTCAGTCGTGAGTTAGTCGTGAGTTAGTCGTGAGTTAGTCGTGAGTCAGTCGTGAGTTAGTCGTGAGTCAGTCGTGAGTCAGTCGTGAGTCAGTCGTGAGCCAGTCGTGAGTCAGTAGTGAGTCAGTCACGAGTTAGTCGTGAGTCAGTCGTGAGCCAGTCTTGAGCCAGTCGTGAGTCAGTGGTGAGTCAGTCATGAGTTAGTCGTGAGTTAGTCGTGAGTCAGACGTGAGTCAGTCGTGAGTCAGTCGTGAGCCAGTCGTGAGTCAGTCGTGAGCCAGTCGTGAGTCAGTAGTGAGTCAGTCACGAGTTAGTCGTGAGTCAGTCGTGAGTTAGTCGTGAGTCAGTCGTGAGCCAGTCGTGAGTCAGTCGTGAGCCAGTCGTGAGTCAGTAGTGAGTTAGTCGTGAGTCAGTCGTGAGTTAGTCGTTAGTCAGTCGTGAGTCAGTCGTGAGTCAGTCGTGAGCCAGTCGTTAGTCAGTAGTGAGTCAGTTGTGAGCCAGTCGTGAGCCAGTCGTGAGCCAGTCGTGAGTCAGTCGCGAGTTAGTCGTGAGTCAGTTGTGAGTTAGTCGTGAGTCAGTCGTCAGTTAGTCGTGAGTTAGTCGTGAGTTAGTCGTGAGCCAGTCGTGAGCCAGTCGTGAGTTAGTGGTGAGCCAGTCGTGAGTCAGTCGTGAGTCAGTCGTGAGTCAGTCTTGAGCCAGTCGTGAGCCAGTCGTGAGTCAGTCTTGAGTCAGTCTTGAGGCAGTCGTGAGTCAGTCGTGATCCAGTCTTGAGCCAGTCGTGATCCAGTCTTGAGCCAGTCGTGAGTCAGTCGTGAGTCAGTCTTGAGCCAGTCGTGAGCCAGTCGTGAGCCAGTCGCGAGTCAGTCGTGAGCCAGTCTTGAGTCAGTCTTGAGCCAGTCGTGAGTTAGTGGTGAGTCAGTGGTGAGTCAGTCGTGAGCCAGTCGTGAGCCAGTCGTGAGTTAGTCGTGAGTCAGTCGTGAGCCAGTCGTGAGCCAGTCGTGAGTCAGTCGTGAGTCAGTCGTGAGTTAGTCTTGAGTCAGTCGTGAGTCAGTCGTGAGTCAGTCGTGAGCCATTCGTGAGTCAGTCGTGAGCCAGTCGTGAGTCAGTCGTGAGCCAGTCGTGAGTCAGTAGTGAGTTAGTCGTGAGTCAGTCGTGAGTTAGTCGTTAGTCAGTCGTGAGTCAGTCGTGAGTCAGTCGTGAGCCAGTCGTTAGTCAGTCGCGAGTTAGTCGTGAGTCAGTTGTGAGTTAGTCCTGAGTCAGTCGTCAGTTAGTCGTGAGCCAGTCGTGAGTTAGTGGTGAGCCAGTCGTGAGTCAGTCGTGAGTCAGTCGTGAGCCAGTCGTGAGTCAGTCGTGAGTCAGTCGTGAGTCAGTCGTGAGTCAGTCTTGAGCCAGTCGTGAGCCAGTCGTGAGCCAGTCGTGAGTCAGTCGTGAGCCAGTAGTGAGTTAGTCTTGAGTCAGTCGTGAGTCAGTCGTGAGTCAGTCGTGAGTCAGTCGTGAGCCAGTCGTGAGCCAGTCGTGAGTTAGTCGTGAGCCAGTAGTGAGTTAGTCGTGAGTCAGTCGTGAGCCAGTCGTGAGTCAGTCGTGAGTCAGTCGTGAGCCAGTAGTGAGTTAGTCGTGAGTCAGTCGTGAGTTAGTCGTGAGTCAGTCGTGAGCCAGTCGTGAGCCAGTCGTGAGTCAGTCACGAGTCAGTCGTGAGTCAGTCACGAGTCAGTCGTGAGTTAGTCGTGAGTCAGTCGTGAGTCAGTCGTGAGTCAGTCGTGATCCAGTCGTGAGTCAGTCGTGATCCAGTCGTGAGCCAGTCTTGAGCCAGTCTTGAGCCAGTCGTGAGTCAGTCGTGAGTCAGTCGTGAGTCAGTCGTGAGCCAGTCGTGAACCAGTCGTGAGTCAGTCGTGAGTCAGTCACGAGTCAGTCGTGAGTTAGTCGTGAGTCAGTCGTGAGTCAGTCGTGAGTCAGTCGTGATCCAGTCGTGAGTCAGTCGTGATCCAGTCGTGAGCCAGTCTTGAGCCAGTCTTGAGCCAGTCGTGAGTCAGTCGTGAGCCAGTCGCGAGTCAGTCGTGAGCCAGTCTTGAGTCAGTCTTGAGCCAGTCGTGAGTTAGTGGTGAGTCAGTGGTGAGTCAGTCGTGAGCCAGTCGTGAGCCAGTCGTGAGTCAGTCGTGAGCCAGTCGTGAGCCAGTCGTGAGTCAGTCGTGAGTCAGTCGTGAGTTAGTCTTGAGTCAGTCGTGAGTCAGTCGTGAGTCAGTCGTGAGCCATTCGTGAGTCAGTCGTGAGCCAGTCGTGAGTCAGTCGTGAGCCAGTCGTGAGTCAGTAGTGAGTTAGTCGTGAGTCAGTCGTGAGTTAGTCGTTAGTCAGTCGTGAGTCAGTCGTGAGTCAGTCGTGAGCCAGTCGTTAGTCAGTCGCGAGTTAGTCGTGAGTCAGTTGTGAGTTAGTCCTGAGTCAGTCGTCAGTTAGTCGTGAGCCAGTCGTGAGTTAGTGGTGAGCCAGTCGTGAGTCAGTCGTGAGTCAGTTGTGAGCCAGTCGTGAGTCAGTCGTGAGCCAGTCGTGAGTCAGTCGTGAGTCAGTCGTGAGTCAGTCTTGAGCCAGTCGTGAGCCAGTCGTGAGCCAGTCGTGAGTCAGTCGTGAGCCAGTAGTGAGTTAGTCTTGAGTCAGTCGTGAGTCAGTCGTGAGTCAGTCGTGAGCCATTCGTGAGCCAGTAGTGAGTTAGTCGTGAGTCAGTCGTGAGCCAGTCGTGAGTCAGTCGTGAGTCAGTCGTGAGCCAGTCGTGAGTCAGTCGTGAGCCAGTAGTGAGTTAGTCGTGAGTCAGTCGTGAGTTAGTCGTGAGTCAGTCGTGAGCCAGTCGTGAGCCAGTCGTGAGTCAGTCACGAGTCAGTCGTGAGTCAGTCACGAGTCAGTCGTGAGTTAGTCGTGAGTCAGTCGTGAGTCAGTCGTGAGTCAGTCGTGATCCAGTCGTGAGTCAGTCGTGATCCAGTCGTGAGCCAGTCTTGAGCCAGTCTTGAGCCAGTCGTGAGTCAGTCGTGAGTCAGTCGTGAGTCAGTCGTGAGCCAGTCATGAACCAGTCGTGAGTCAGTCGTGAGTCAGTCGTGAGTTAGTCGTGAGTTAGTCGTGAGCCAGTCGTGAGTCAGTCACGAGTCAGTCGTGAACCAGTCGTGAGCCAGTCGTGAGTCAATCTTGAGCCAGTCGTGAGTCAGTCGTGAGCCAGTCGTGAGTCAATCTTGAGCCAGTAGTGAGTCAGTCTTGAGTTAGTCGTGAGCCAGTCATGAGCCAGTCGTGAGTCAGTCGCGGCGAGGGGCTCCGTGTACCCCCGAGTTGCCCGCGGTGACGTTCTGCAGGGCCCCCGCTGCTCCCTCGCGGAGGTTGTCGGGGGCCCCCCCCCCCCGCGCGCTGTGGGGCGGGGGGGGCCCCCCGCGTCTTGAGGAGCTCCGCATAGAGGCGCACCGCCTGGGGGTTCCACAGCCACTGAGCCCCACGCGGAGACTTCGTGAACTCTACGTCCTGAGGCTCCACAGCCTGCAGGAGTGGGGGGGGGTGGTGGGTGGGTGGGTGGTGGGTGGGTGGTGGGGGGGGGTGGTGGTGGGGGGGTGGTGGAAGGTGGTGGGGGGCACACGGGGGGGGGGGGGGAGGTTTTTAGTGAACCTGGCGGATGTCGTCGCCGGCGTCACCACCACCGTCAGTCGTCGCCACCACCATCGACCACAACAACAACAACAACAACAGCCGCCATTCGACCGCCGAGTGGCGGTGACGTCACCACGACGCTTGTGCCAGGCTAGGTGCACGTTGAAGTGTCGAACGCCCGCTGGCAGGAGGTCACGGGGCAGACCCAGCAGGTGCCACGGGTCGACTGACTGAGATGACTGGCTGATGCACCACCTGTGCCCCCTACTGTGCCAACCTGCTGTGCTTTAGCCACCCGGCGCTCCGCTCGTTGTTGTGAGCGGCGCTCCTCCGCCCTCCGTTGTTGTTGTTGGAGGGCGACTGCCTCCAACTGCCCAGTAGCATCCTTCACGAGCCTCCTCCACAGAGGCTGATGTTGACACCGCTGGTACCGGTCATCGGCAAGTCCACTCAGCTCCACGTCCTCCTGTACCACATCACTCCATCTCTTCTCTAGCCCGTGCCGCGCTCGTTTAGCCCCCTCGATCCGGCCGAACAAAAGCTGTTTTGGCATGCGGTGGCTGGGAATGCGGGCTACATGACCCAGCCAACGCAGCCTTGCCTGCTGGAGGAGCTCACCGATGGGACCTTGCCCAGATCTTTCAAAGATTTGTGAGCTCCTCACACAATCCAGCCTGGTTAAACCCAGGATGGATCGTAGGCAGGCCAGCTTAAATATTGCTAACCGGTGAAAATGTTCCATTAGAGCGGTCCACATTTCACAAGCGTAGAGAAGGGAGGGAATGACTGTGGCCGAGAAGACCTGAAGCTTAGTGCAGAGCGACAGACCAGGTAGCTTCCACACAGCGTTACGCAACCGATGAAAAGATATTGCCGCTCGACTGATTCGGAGTGAGACCTCTGCTGTTAAACTGGAGCCAGTCATAAGCACACTGCCCAGGTATGGGAAACTCTCCACTCTCTCCACAACTGCCCCATCACTGATTGGGAGTTGTGGGGGTGGAGTGTCCGATGGTACAAAATACCCAGGCAGGTGCTTAGTTTTGGTGGGGCTGATGGTAAGGCCCCACCTCTTAGTGGCACGCTCCAGTCTCAGCAGCAGCGTCTCCAACTCCTCCTCTGAATGAGCAGCTATTACCAAATCATCAGCATACATAACGTGATTGAGCAATAGGGAGCCATCCCTTGACCGCACCCGGGCATCGATCAGCCTCCTATTTTATCTGTACCAGATGGAAATTCCTCCGGTACAGCCATCAAAGGCTTCAAGTACTATGTAGTCGAAAAATATGTTAAATAATCTGGGAGCCAGAGGACATCCCTGTCGCACTCCAAGGTGAACAGGGAATGGCTCGGACTCCCGGCCACGTAGTTTTATCCGGGCCCACTCACCATCATGAAGGTCCTTAATGATCGTGAGCAGAGTGTCAGGGACTCCGAAAGCACGAAGAACAACCCAAAGCCGAGGCCGAATGATGGTATCATAGGCCTTGACCAGGTCAATAAAGCAGAGATGTAGGTCTTGTAGGAATTCCGTACACTTCTGCTGTAACAGACGGACAGAAAATATGGCATCTGTGCAGAACCGCCCTTTCCTGAAACCGCATTGGGGCTCCGGAAGCCTCTCCTCAGCGTGCCTGGCAAGGCGATGCTGAATAATCCTTGCCAGGACCTTTCCCGGCACACTGAGGAGTGAGATGCCCCTGTAGCTGTTACAGTCTGTGCGGTCCCCCTTCTTAAGGGGGGACCGCACTTCTTAAAGAGGGGGACCACCAGGGCATCCTTTCAATCCTGCGGAACCCGTCCAGTGGTCCAGACTGTTGTTATGATGTCATGTAGGGCAGTCTGTGCACAAACGCCACCCTCCCTCAAGATTTCGCTTGGGAGATAATCTCTGCCCGGTGCCTTTCCTGGTCTCAAGACTCCGGATCGCCTTCAGTACCTCCTCAACAGATGGCACCTCAGCCAGCCACTCACAGGGGGTGACTTCTTCCTCCAATATTTGAGGCACCGCAGCCTCGGCAGGGTCATCCCCACTTTGTCCCACGATGTTTTCCATGCCGAGGGATTTCCCTTCCCCCAGGACTTCACAGGTTTGCAGATTTGCTCAGTAAATCTGCAAACCTGTTCCTGGGGGTCGGAGATTGGATCACCCGTTGTTTCCCCGAATGATGGTAATAGGCGTGGCGCTGCAGGTTACTTTTGTGATGGAGTTAAATAGAGATTTGTGATCGTGAGCCACGGAGGCAGACTCCATCTCCACAGCAACCCGCGACCACCACCCTCCTCATTCACCACCACTGTCAACACCACCGTCACCACCACCGTCACCACCATCACCACTGTCACCACCACTGTCACCACCACCGTCACCACCACCGACACCGTCACCACCACCACCACCACTTTCACTACCACCACTACCACCATCACCGACACCGTCACCACCTCCGACACCGTCACCACCACCACCATCACCACCGCCACCGCCACCACTACCACCACTGCCACTACCACCATCACCGTCACCACCATCACCGTCACCACCACCACCACCACCGTCACCACCACCATCGTCACCATCACCGTCACCACCACCACCACCACCACCGCCACCACCACCACCACCACCACCGTCACCACCACCACCATCACCACCACCGTCACCACCACCGTCACCACCACCATCGTCACCATCACCGTCACCACCACCATCGTCACCATCACCGTCACCACCACCACCACCACCACCACCGTCACCACCACCACCGTCACCACCACCACCGTCACCACACCTCCTTGGCAGCACGGCTCCGTGAGCTGAAGCAGCCAGGCTCCTCGTAGTCGCTGGGGGCCACGCCGGGCGAGTAGGAGGGCGAGTAGGAGGGCGAGTAGGAGGAGGGCGAGTAGGGGGAGGTGGTGGTGGTGGGGTTGCTGCTGTTGGGCTGCGCCTGGAGCTGAGCAGCTACGCTGGGTCCGGCCTCGTCGCTCAAGCGGTACGTGAGGTTGCGTAGCGTGCACACACAGTTCTCCACGCTCGCTCGCACGCGGCTCTCTGGGGCCTGCGGGGGGGGGCAGGGGGTAGGGGGCAGGGGGTAGGGGGGGGGCGGGGGTTTAAGGGGGGGGGGGCGGGGGTTTAAGGGGGGGGGAGGCGGGGGGCAGAGGGAATGTGGTGGGGGGGGGGGGTGTTGGGGGGGGGGTATGTGGCTTAGTGAGCGAGTGGGTGAGTGAGCGAGTGGCTTAGTGAGCGAGTGGGTGAGCGAGTGTGTGAGCGAGTGGGTGAGTGAGCGAGTGGCTTAGTGAGCGAGTGAGTGTGTGAGCGAGTGGGTGAGTGAGCGAGTGGCTTAGTGAGCGAGTGGGTGAGCGAGTGTGTGAGCGAGTGGGTGAGTGAGCGAGTGGCTTAGTGAGCGAGTGGGTGAGCGAGTGTGTGAGCGAGTGGGTGAGTGAGTGAGCGAGTGGCTTAGTGAGCGAGTGGGTGAGTGAGTGTGTGAGCGAGTGGGTGAGTGAGCGAGCAAATGGCTTCATGAGTGAGTGGGTGAGTGAGCGTGCAAGTGGCTTCTTGAGCGAGTGGGTGAGCGAGTAGGTGAGCGAGTGGGTGAGCGAGTGGGTGAGCGAGTGGGTGAGCGAGTGGGTGAGCGAGTGGGTGAGCGAGTGAGCGAGTGGGTGAGCGAGTGGGTGAGCGAGCGAGCGAGTCAGTGGCTTCGTGAGCAAGTGGATGAGTGAGCGAGCAAGTGGCTTCATGAGCGAATGGGTGAGTGAGTGTGTGAGCGAGTGGGTGAGTGAGCGAGTGGCTTAGTGAGCGAGTGGATGAGCGAGTGTGTGAGCGAGTGGGTGAGTGAGCGAGTGGCTTAGTGAGCGAGTGGATGAGCGAGTGTGTGAGCGAGTGGGTGAGTGGGCGAGTGGCTTAGTGAGCGAGTGGGTGAGCGAGTGTGTGAGCGAGTGGGTGAGTGAGCGAGTGGCTTAGTGAGCGAGTGGATGAGCGAGTGTGTGAGAGAGTGGGTGAGTGAGCGAGTGGCTTAGTGAGCGAGTGGGTGAGCGAGTGTGTGAGCGAGTGGGTGAGTGAGCGAGTGGCTTAGTGAGCGAGTGGGTGAGCGAGTGTGTGAGCGAGTGGGTGAGTGAGCGAGTGGCTTAGTGAGCGAGTGGGTGAGCGAGTGTGTGAGCGAGTGGGTGAGTGAGTGGCTTAGTGAGCGAGTGGATGAGCGAGTGTGTGAGCGAGTGGGTGAGTGAGCGAGTGGCTTAGTGAGCGAGTGGGTGAGCGAGTGTGTGAGCGAGTGGGTGAGTAAGCGAGCAAGTGGCTTCTTGAGTGAGTGGGTGAGCGAGTAGGTGAGCGAGTGGGTGAGCGAGTGGGTGAGCGAGTGAGTGAGCGAGTGAGCGAGTGGGTGAGCGAGTGGGTGAGCGAGTGAGCGAGTGGGTGAGCGAGTGGGTGAGCGAGCGAGCGAGTCAGTGGCTTCGTGAGCAAGTGGATGAGTGAGCGAGCAAGTGGCTTCATGAGCGAATGGGTGAGTGAGTGTGTGAGCGAGTGGGTGAGTGAGCGAGTGGCTTAGTGAGCGAGTGGATGAGCGAGTGTGTGAGCGAGTGGGTGAGTGAGCGAGTGGCTTAGTGAGCGAGTGGATGAGCGAGTGTGTGAGCGAGTGGGTGAGTGGGCGAGTGGCTTAGTGAGCGAGTGGGTGAGCGAGTGTGTGAGCGAGTGGGTGAGTGAGCGAGTGGCTTAGTGAGCGAGTGGATGAGCGAGTGTGTGAGCGAGTGGGTGAGTGAGCGAGTGGCTTAGTGAGCGAGTGGGTGAGCGAGTGTGTGAGCGAGTGGGTGAGTGAGCGAGTGGCTTAGTGAGCGAGTGGGTGAGTGAGTGTGTGAGCGAGTGGGTGAGTGAGCGAGTGGCTTAGTGAGCGAGTGGATGAGCGAGTGTGTGAGCGAGTGGGTGAGTGAGCGAGTGGCTTAGTGAGCGAGTGGGTGAGCGAGTGTGTGAGTGAGCGAGTGGCTTAGTGAGCGAGTGGGTGAGCGAGTGGGTGAGCGAGTGTGTGAGCGAGTGGGTGAGTGAGCGAGTGGCTTAGTGAGCGAGTGGATGAGCGAGTGTGTGAGCGAGTGGGTGAGTGAGCGAGTGGCTTAGTGAGCGAGTGGATGAGCGAGTGTGTGAGCGAGTGGGTGAGTGAGCGAGTGGCTTAGTGAGCGAGTGGGTGAGCGAGTGTGTGAGCGAGTGTGTGAGCGAGTGGGTGAGTGAGCGAGTGGCTTAGTGAGCGAGTGGATGAGCGAGTGTGTGAGCGAGTGGGTGAGTGAGCGAGTGGCTTAGTGAGCGAGTGGGTGAGTGAGTGTGTGAGCGAGTGGGTGAGTGAGCGATTGGCTTAGTGAGCGAGTGGGTGAGCGAGTGTGTGAGCGAGTGGGTGAGTGAGCGAGTGGCTTAGTGAGCGAGTGGGTGAGCGAGTGTGTGAGCGAGTGGGTGAGTGAGCGAGTGGCTTAGTGAGCGAGTGGGTGAGCGAGTGTGTGAGCGAGTGGGTGAGTGAGCGAGTGGCTTAGTGAGCGAGTGGGTGAGTGAGTGTGTGAGCGAGTGGGTGAGTGAGCGAGTGGCTTAGTGAGCGAGTGGTTGAGCGAGTGTGTGAGCGAGTGGGTGAGTGAGCGAGTGGCTTAGTGAGCGAGTGGGTGAGTGAGTGTGTGAGCGAGTGGGTGAGTGAGCGAGTGGCTTAGTGAGCGAGTGGATGAGCGAGTGTGTGAGCGAGTGGGTGAGTGGCTTAGTGAGCGAGTGGGTGAGCGAGTGTGTGAGCGAGTGGGTGAGTGGGCGAGTGGCTTAGTGAGCGAGTGGGTGAGCGAGTGTGTGAGCGAGTGGGTGAGTGAGCGAGTGGCTTAGTGAGCGAGTGAATGAGCGAGTGTGTGAGCGAGTGGGTGAGTGAGCGAGTGGCTTAGTGAGCGAGTGGGTGAGCGAGTGTGTGAGCGAGTGGGTGAGTGAGCGAGTGGCTTAGTGAGCGAGTGGGTGAGTGAGTGTGTGAGCGAGTGGGTGAGTGAGCGAGTGGCTTAGTGAGCGAGTGGATGAGCGAGTGTGTGAGCGAGTGAGTGAGTGAGCGAGTGGCTTAGTGAGCGAGTGGGTGAGCGAGTGTGTGAGCGAGTGGGTGAGTGAGCGAGTGGCTTAGTGAGCGAGTGGGTGAGCGAGTGTGTGAGCGAGTGTGTGAGCGAGTGGGTGAGTGAGCGAGTGGCTTAGTGAGCGAGTGGGTGAGTGAGTGTGTGAGCGAGTGGGTGAGTGAGCGAGTGGCTTAGTGAGCGAGTGGCTGAGCGAGTGTGTGAGCGAGTGGGTGAGTGAGCGAGTGGCTTAGTGAGCGAGTGGGTGAGCGAGTGTGTGAGCGAGTGGGTGAGTGAGCGAGTGGCTTAGTGAGCGAGTGGATGAGCGAGTGTGTGAGCGAGTGGGTGAGTGAGCAAGTGGCTTAGTGAGCGAGTGGGTGAGCGAGTGTGTGAGCGAGTGGGTGAGTGAGCGAGTGGCTTAGTGAGCGAGTGGGTGAGCGAGTGTGTGAGCGAGTGGGTGAGTGAGCGAGTGGCTTAGTGAGCGAGTGGGTGAGTGAGTGTGTGAGCGAGTGGGTGAGTGAGCGAGCAAATGGCTTCATGAGTGAGTGGGTGAGTGAGCGTGCAAGTGGCATCTTGAGCGAGTGGGTGAGCGAGTAGGTGAGCGAGTGGGCGAGCGAGTGGGTGAGCGAGTGGGTGAGCGAGTGGGTGAGCGAGTGAGCGAGTGGGTGAGCGAGTGGGTGAGCGAGTGAGCGAGTGGGTGAGCGAGTGGGTGAGCGAGCGAGCGAGTCAGTGGCTTCGTGAGCAAGTGGATGAGTGAGCAAGCAAGTGGCTTCATGAGCGAATGGGTGAGTGAGTGTGTGAGCGAGTGGGTGAGTGAGCGAGTGGCTTAGTGAGCGAGTGGATGAGCGAGTGTGTGAGCGAGTGGGTGAGTGAGCGAGTGGCTTAGTGAGTGAGTGGGTGAGCGAGTGTGTGAGCGAGTGGGTGAGTGAGCGAGTGGCTTAGTGAGCGAGTGGGTGAGCGAGTGTGTGAGCGAGTGGGTGAGTGAGCGAGTGGCTTAGTGAGCGAGTGGGTGAGTGAGTGTGTGAGCGAGTGGGTGAGTGAGCGAGTGGCTTAGTGAGCGAGTGGGTGAGCGAGTGTGTGAGCGAGTGGGTGAGTGAGCGAGTGGCTTAGTGAGCGAGTGGGTGAGTGAGTGTGTGAGCGAGTGGGTGAGTAAGCGAGCAAGTGGCTTCTTGAGTGAGTGGGTGAGCGAGTGGGTGAGCGAGTGGGTGAGCGAGTGGGTGAGCGAGTGAGCGAGTGGGTGAGCGAGTGGGTGAGCGAGTGAGCGAGTGGGTGAGCGAGTGGGTGAGCGAGCGAGCGAGTCAGTGGCTTCGTGAGCAAGTGGATGAGTGAGCGAGCAAGTGGCTTCATGAGCGAATGGGTGAGTGAGTGTGTGAGCGAGTGGGTGAGTGAGCGAGTGGGTGAGCGGCTGAGTGGGTGAGCGAGCGAGCGAGCGGGCGAGCGAGCGTTCGTGCAGATGAGCATGCAGGCGTTTGAGGGTGGCGTGCGTGCGTGGTGAGCGAGGGTGGTGAGTGAGGGTGGTGAGCGAGGGTGGTGAGCGTGCGGGTGAGCGAGCGTGGTGAGCGAGTGAGTGGGTGTGATCACCGTCTCGTTGATGGTGCCGTGTTCTACTGCGCTGTTGGTGAACTTGACGAGTGAGTCTATCAGGCCCGGGCTCTCCCTCATGCGCCCACGTGCCTCCTGGCTTGCAGAACTCAGGTTCCTAGCGAGGGGAGTTAGCGGATATGGGGGGGGGGGGGGGGGGGGGAGTTAGCGGATATGGGGGAGGGGGAGTTAGCGGATATGGGGGAGGGGGAGTTCGCGGATATGGGGGAAGGAGTTAATGGATACGGGGGAGGTGGTTAGCGGATATGGGGGAAGGAGTTAATGGATACGGGGGAGGTGGTTAGCGGATATGGGGGAGGTAGTTAGCGGATATGGGGGAGGGAGTTAGCGGATATGGAGGGGAGGTAGAGTTAGCGGATATGGGGGGGGAGGTAGAGTTAGCGGATATGGGGGGGAGGTAGAGTTAGCGGGCATGGGTGAGGAAGAGTTAGCGGATATGGGGGGGAGGTAGGGTTAGCGGATATGGGGGGGAGGAAGAGTTAGCGGACATGGGTGAGGAATAGTTAGCGGATATGGGGGGGAGGTAGAGTTAGCGGACATGTGGGAGGAAGAGTTAGCGGACATGGGGGGGAGGTAGAGTTAGCGGACATGTGGGGGAGGTAGAGTTAGCGGACATGGTTGAGGAAGAGTTAGCGGATATGGGGGGGAGGTAGAGTTAGCGGATATGGGGGTGAGGTATAGTTAGCGGATATGGGGGGGAGGTAGAGTTAGCGGACATGGGTGAGGTAGAGTTAGCGGATATGGGGGGGAGGTAGAGTTAGCGGACATGTGGGAGGAAGAGTTAGCGGACATGGGGGGGAGGTAGAGTTAGCGGACATGGTTGAGGAAGAGTTAGCGGATATGGGGGGGAGGTAGAGTTAGCGGATATGGGGGTGAGGTAGAGTTAGCGGATATGGGGGTGAGGTAGAGTTAGCGGATATGGGGGTGAGGTAGAGTTAGCGGATATGGGGGTCACCGCAGGCAGCCCGTGACGTTGTAGAAGACTTCCGCGTCAGGATTGGGGCTCCCGGGCGTGCCCTGGACCTTGCGCACCAACACGTCCAGCGAGCTCGTCACAATCTCCTCCTTCAGGGACTCCATGGACGACAGGTTCCACAGGGCGCCTAGCACAGCACGGCACGCGCGGGGGGAGAGACACGTGGGGGGTGAGAGACACGTGGGGAGACACGTGGAGACACGTGGGGGGGGAGAGACACGTGGGGGGGGGGAGAGACACGTGGGGGGTGAGAGACACGTCAGGGGTGAGAGACACGTGGGGAGACACGTGGAGACACGTGGGGGGGGAGAGACACGTGGAGGGGGAGAGACACGTGGGGAGAGACACGTGGGGAGAGACACGTGGGGGGTGAGAGACACGTCAGGGGTGAGAGACACGTGGGGAGTGAGAGACACGTGGGGGGGGAGAGACACGTGGTGGGGGAGAGACACGTGGGGAGAGACACGTGGGGAGAGACACGTGGGGGGTGAGAGACACGTCAGGGGTGAGAGACACGTGGGGAGTGAGAGACACGTGGGGGGGGAGAGACACGTGGTGGGGGAGAGACACGTGGGGAGAGACACGTGGGGAGAGACACGTGGGGACAGACACAGGGAGACACGTGGGGAGAGACACGTGGGGGGGGAGAGACACGTGGGGAGTGAGAGACACGTGGTGGGGGAGAGACACGTGGGGAGAGACACGTGGGGAGAGATACGTGGGGAGAGATACGTGGGGACAGACACAGGGAGACACGTGGGGAGAGACACGTGGGGGGGGAGAGACACGTGGAGGGGGAGAGACACGTGGGGGGTGAGAGACACGTGGGGGGGAGAGACACGTGGTGAGACACGTGGAGACACGTGGGGACACGTGGGGACACGTGGGGAGAGACACGTGGGGGGGGGGGGGGAGAGACACGTGGAGAGACACGTGGGGAGAGACACGTGGGGACACGTGGGGACACGTGGGGAGAGACACGTGGGGGGGGGGAGAGACACGTGGGGGAGAGACACGTGGGGAGAGACACGTGGGGACACGTGGGGAGAGACACGTGGGGGAGAGACACGTGGGGAGACACGGGGAGACACGGGGAGAGACACGTGGGGGAGAGACACAGGGGGAGAGACACGTGGGGAGAGACACGGGGGGAGAGACACGTGGGGACACGGGGAGAGACACGTGGGGAGACACGGAGAGAGACACGTGGGGAGAGACACGTGGGGACACGGGGAGAGACACGTGGGGAGACACGTGGGGAGACACGGGGAGAGACACGGAGAGAGACACGTGGGGACAGACACGGGGAGACAAGGGGGGACGCGCGGGGAGAGACACGGGGAGAGGTGGACATGAGGATACAGACAGAACGTGACATACATGTACCTCCCGTGTCTATCCCCCCCGTGTCTCTCCCCCCCAGTGTCTCTCTCTCCTCCCCTCGTGCTCCACACACCACCGTCACCACCACCACCATCACCACCACTACCACCACCGTCACCACCACCATCACCGTCACCACCACAACCACCATCACCACCACCACCACCGTCACCACCACCATAACCACCGTCACCACCGTCACCACCACCGTCACCACCACCACCGTCACCACCATCACCACCACCACCACCACCGTCACCACCACCACCATCACCACCGTCACCACCACCACCATCACCACCACCGTCACCACCACCACCACCATCACCACCACAACCACCATCATCACCACCACCGTCACCACCACCACCGTCACCACCACCACCATCACCACCGTCACCACCACCGTCACCACCACCATCACCGTCACCACCACAACCACCATCATCACCACCACCGTCACCACCACCACCACCACCGTCACCACCACCACCACCATCACCACCGTCACCACCACCGTCACCACCATCACCACCACCACCACCACCGTCACCACCACCACCACCACCATCACCACCGTCACCACCACCACCATCACCACCACCGTCACCACCACCATCACCACCACCGCCATCACCATCACCACCACCATCACCACCGTCACCACCGTCACCACCACCACCACCACCGTCACCGCCACCACCACCACCGTCACCACCACCACCGTCACCACCACAACCACAACCACCGTCACCAGCACCGTCACCGCCACCACCACCGTCACCACCGTCACCACCACCGTCACCATCACCACCGTCACCACCACCACCGTCACCACCACAACCACAACCACCACCACCACCGCCACCACCACCGTCACCACCACCGTCACCACCACCACCATCACCACCACCGTCACCACCACCGTCACCGTCACCACCACCACCACCGTCACCACCACCGTCACCACCACCACCACCACCGTCACCATCACCACCACCACCACCACCGTCACCACCACCACCGTCACCACCGTCACCACCCTCCTACCTGACGCCTGTCTCAGCGTCTCGGCGTCTCCGCTAGAGCCCAGCACGTTGGCCAGCACCTCCACCACCCCCTCCACCACCTCCACCACCACCACCGTCATCACCACCACCACCGTCACCACCCTCCTACCTGACGCCTGTCTCAGCGTCTCGGCGTCTCCGCTAGAGCCCAGCACGTTGGCCAGCACCTCCACGCCCCCGGCGTTGCGTGTCTCCTCCTTGTTGCGGCCGTCCACGTAGACGAGGTTGCGCAGGGCGCCGCACGCGCCGCTTCGGACCTCCCGCAGCTCCTCGAGGCCCCCAGCCGACGCGTCGGACCACGTCGCCGACTCGTCCAGCAGGCTCACGAGGTGGCGGATTCCTGATAGCTGATACACCTGTGGTGGGCGGTGGTGTTGGTGTTGTGGTGTTGTTGTGGTGTTGTGGTGTTGGAGTGGTGGTGGACGGTGGTGGTGTTGTGGTGTGATGGTGTTGTGGTGTTGGAGTGGTGGTGTTGGAGTGGTGGTGTTGGAGTGGTGGTGGTCGTGTTGTGGTGTTGTGGTGGTGTGGTGGTGTTGTGGTGTAGTGGTGGTGGTGGTGGGAGTGGTGTTGTAGTGGTGGTGGTTGTGGTGGTGGCAGTGACGGTGGTGGTGGCGGTGGTGACGGTAGTGGTGGCGGTGGTGGTGGCGGTGGTGGTGGTGGTGTTGTAGTGGTCGTGGTGGCGGTGGTGGTGTTGTTGTAGTGGTGTTGTAGTGGTGGAGGTTGTGGTGGTGGCGGTGGTGGTGACGGTGGTGGTGGCGGTGGTGGTGGTGGTGTTGTAGTGGTGGTGGTGGTGTTGTAGTGGTTGTGGTGGGGGTGGTGGTGTTGTGGTGTTGTAGTGGTGGTGGTGGGGGTGGTGGTGTTGTAGTGGTGGTGTAGTGGTGGTGACGGTGGTGTTGTAGTGGTGGTGGTGTTGTGGTGTTGTAGTGGTGGTGTTGTGGTGTTGTGGTGTTGTAGTGGTGGTGTTGTAGTGGTGGGGGTGGTGGTGTTGTAGTGGTGGTGTAGTGGTGGTGACGGTGGTGTTGTAGTGGTGGTGGTGTTGTGGTGTTGTAGTGGTGGTTTTGGGGGTGGTGTTGTGGTGTTGTGGTGTTATAGTGGTGGTGGTGTTGTGGTGTTGTGGTGTTGGAGTGGTGGTGGGGGTGGTGTTGTGGTGTTGTAGTGGTGTTAGTAGGGTGGGAGTGGTGGGGGTGGTGGTGTGGTGTTGTAGTGGTGGTGGTGGTGTTGTAGTGGTGGTGGTGGTGTTGTAGGAGTGGTGATTTTGTCGTGGTGTTGTAGTGGTGGTGGTGACGGTGTTGTAGTGGTGTTGGTGGGGGTGGGAGTGGTGGGGGTGGTGGTGGTGTTGTAATGGTGGTGGTGACGGTGGTGACGGTGGTGTTGTGGTGGTGGTGGTGTGTAGTGGTGGTGGGGGTAGTGGTGGTGGTGACGGTGGTGACGGTGGCGGTGGTGGTGGTGGTTGTGGTGGTGGCGGTAGGGGGAGACATCAACTATTCGTTTAACAAGCAGACAAGATGCCGAATCTCCCCCCGTGTCTCCCCCCGTGTCTCCCTGTGTCTCCCCGTGTCTCTCCCCGTGTCTCCCCCTGTCTCTCCCCGTGTCTCCCCGTGTCTCTCCCCGTGTCTCCCCGTGTCTCCCCCGTGTCTCCCCCCGTGTCTCCCTGTGTCTCCCTCACCGTGTCTCCCCCCCGTGTCTCCCCGTGTCTCCCCGTGTCTCCCCCCGTGTCTACCCAAGTGTCTCCCCCCGTGTCTCCCTGTGTCTCCCTCACCGTGTCTCCCCCCCGTGTCTCCCCGTGTCTCTCCCCGTGTCTCCCCGTGTCTCCCCCTGTCTCTCCCCGTGTCTCCCCGTGTCTCCCCCTGTCTCCCCCCGTGTCTCCCCCGTGTCTCCCCCCGTGTCTCCCTGTGTCTCCCTCACCGTGTCTCCCCCCCGTGTCCCCCCGTATCTCCACAAGTGTCTCCCCCCGTGTCTCCCTGTGTCTCCCTCACCGTGTCTCCCCCCCGTGTCTCCCCGTGTCTCTCCCCGTGTCTCCCCGTGTCTCCCCCTGTCTCTCCCCGTGTCTCCCCGTGTCTCCCCCTGTCTCCCCCCGTGTCTCCCCGTGTCTCCCCCCGTGTCTCAATGTGTCTCCCTCACCGTGTCTCCCCCCCGTGTCTCCCCGTGTCTCCCCGTGTCTCCCCCCGTGTCTCCCCAAGTGTCTCCCCCCGTCTCTCCCCCCGTCTCTCCCCCCGTGTCTCCCCGCGTGTCTTCCCCTGTGTCTCCTCGTGTCTCCATGTGTCTCCCCCCGTGTCTCCCCCCGTGTCTCCCCCCGTGTCTCTCCCCGTGTCTCTCCCCGTGTCTCCCCGCGTGTCTCCCCCTGTGTCTCCCCGTGTCTCCCCGTGTCTCCCCGTGACTCCCACCGTGTCTCCCTGTGTCTCCCCGTGTCTCCCCCCGTGTCTCCCCGTGTCTCCCCACGTGTCTCCCCCCGTGTCTCCCCGTGTCTCCCCCTGTGTCTCCCCGTGTCTCCCCCTGTCTCTCCCCGTGTCTCCCCGTGTCTCTCCGTGTCTCCCCCTGTGTCTCCCCGTGTCTCCCCCTGTGTCTCCCCCTGTCTCCCCCCCGTGTCTCCCCGTGTCTCTCCCCGTGTCTCCCCCCGTGTCTCCCCGTGTCTCCCCCTGTGTCTCCCCGTGTCTCCCCGTGTCTCCCCGTGTCTCCCCCTGTGTCTCCCCGTGTCTCCCCGTGTCTCCCCCTGTGTCTCCCCGTGTCTCCCCGTGTCTCACCCTGTGTCTCCCCGTGTCTCCCCTTGTGTCTCCCCCTGTCTCCCCCCGTGTCTCCCCGTGTCTCTCCCCGTGTCTCCCCGTGTCTCCCCGTGTCTCCCCCGTGTCTCCCCCCGTGTCTCAATGTGTCTTTCTGTGTCTCCCCCCGTGTCTCCCTCACCGTGTCTCCCCCCGTGTCTCCCCGTGTCTCCCCGTGTCTCCCCCCGTGTCTCCCCAAGTGTCTCCCCCCGTCTCTCCCCCCGTCTCTCCCCCCGTGTCTCCCCGCGTTTCTCCCCCTGTGTCTCCCCGTGTCTCCCTGTGTCTCCAACCGTGTCTCCCCCCGTGTCTCCCCGTGTCTCTCCCCGTGTCTCCCCGCGTGTCTCCCCCTGTGTCTCCCCGTGTCTCCCTGTGTCTCCCCGTGTCTCCCACCGTGTCTCCCTGTGTCTCCCCGTGTCTCCCCCCGTGTCTCCCCGTGTCTCCCCCTGTCTCCCCCCGTGTCTCCCCGTGTCTCCCCCTGTGTTTCCCCGTGTCTCCCCCTGTCTCTCCCCGTGTCTCCCCGTGTCTCCCCGTGTCTCCCCCTGTGTCTCCCCGTGTCTCCCCCTGTGTCTCCCCCTGTCTCCCCCCGTGTCTCCCCGTGTCTCTCCCCGTGTCTCCCCGTGTCTCCCCGTGTCTCCCCCGTGTCTCCCACCGTGTCTCCCTGTGTCTCCCCGTGTCTCGCCCCGTGTCTCCCCGTGTCTCCCCGTCTCTCCCCCCGTGTCTCCCCCCGTGTCTCCCCCCGTGTCTCCCCGTGTCTCTCCACGTGTCTCCCCGTGTCTCCCCGTGTCTCTCCCCGTGTCTCCCCCCGTGTCTCCCCGTGTCTTCCTGTGTCTCCCCGTGTCTCCCACCGTGTCTCCCTGTGTCTCCCCGTGTCTCCCCCCGTGTCTCCCCGTGTCTCCCCGTGTCTCCCCACGTGTCTCCCCCTGTGTCTCCCCGTGTCTCCCCCCGTGTCTCCCTCACCGTGTCTCCCCCCCGTGTCTCCCCGTGTCTCCCCGTGTCTCTCACTGTCTCCCCGTGTCTCCCCCTGTATCCCCCTGTGTCTCCCCGTGTCTCCCCCTGTCTCCCCCCGTGTCTCCCTGTGTCTCCCCCTGTCTCTCCCCGTCTCTCCCCGTGTCTCCCCACGTGTCTCCCCCCGTCTCTCCCCACGTGTCTCTCCCCGTCTCTCCACGTGTCTCCCCGTGTCTCCCCGTGTCTCCCCCCGTGTATCCCCGTGTCTCCCCGTGTCTCCCCCTGTCTCTCCACGTGTCTCCCCGTGTCTCCCCGTGTCTCTCCCTGTGTCTCCCCGTGTCTCCCCCTGTGTCTCCCCGTGTCTCCCCGTGTCTCTCCCTGTGCCTCCCCCTGTCTCCCCCCGTGTCTCCCCGTGTCTCTCCCCGTGTCTCCCCGTGTCTCCCCGTGTCTCCCCCGTGTCTCCCCCCGTGTCTCAATGTGTCTCCCCGTGTCTCCCCCCGTGTCTCCCCAAGTGTCTCCCCCCGTCTCTCCCCCCGTCTCTCCCCCCGTGTCTCCTCGCGTGTCTCCCCCTGTGTCTCCCCGTGTCTCCCGGTGTCTCCCACCGTGTCTCCCCGTGTCTCGCCCCGTGTCTCCCCCTGTGTCTCCCTGTGTCTCCCCGTGTCTCCCCACGTGTCTCCCCCCGTGTCTCCCCGTGTCTCCCCACGTGTATCCCCCCGTCTCTCCCCACGTGTCTCCCCCCGTCTCTCCACGTGTCTCCCCGTGTCTCCCCGTGTCTCCCCCCGTGTATCCCCGTGTCTCCCCGTGTCTCCCCCTGTCTCTCCACGTGTCTCCCCGTGTCTCCCCGTGTCTCTCCCTGTGTCTCCCCGTGTCTCCCCCTGTGTCTCCCCGTGTCTCCCCGTGTCTCTCCCTGTGCCTCCCCGTGTCTCCCCCTTTGTCTCCCCCTGTGTCTCCCCTCGTGTCTCCCCGTGTCTCCCCGTGTCTCCCCCTGTCTCCCTCCTGTCTCTCGCCGTGTCTCCCCACGTGTCTCCCCGTGTCTCCCCGTGTCTCTCCCCGTGTCTCACTGTGTCTCCCCGTGTCTTCCTGTGTCTCCCAGTGTCTCTCACCGTGTCTCCCTGTGTCTCCCCCCGTCTCTCCACGTGTCTCCCCGTGTCTCCCCGTGTCTCCCCCCGTGTATCCCCGTGTCTCCCCGTGTCTCCCCCTGTCTCTCCACGTGTCTCCCCGTGTCTCCCCGTGTCTCTCCCTGTGTCTCCCCGTGTCTCCCCCTGTGTCTCCCCGTGTCTCCCCGTGTCTCTCCCTGTGCCTCCCCGTGTCTCCCCCTGTGTCTCCCCCTGTGTCTCCCCTCGTGTCTCCCCGTGTCTCCCCGTGTCTCCCCCTGTCTCCCTGTGTCTCCCCGCCCTGTGTCTCCCCGTGTCTCCCTGTGTCTCACCCCGTGTCTCCCTGTGGCTCCCTGTCTCTCCCCGTGTCCCCCTGTGTCTCCCCGTGTCTCCCCCTGTGTCTCCCCCCGTGTCTCCCTGTGTCTCCCCGTGTCTCCCTGTGTCTCCCCGTGTCTCCCTGTGTCTCCCGGTGTCTCCCCGTGTCTCCCCGTGTCTCCCCCTGTGTATCCCCGTGTCTCCCGGTGTCTCCCCCGTGTCTCCCTGTGGCTCCCTGTCTCTCCCCGTGTCCCCCTGTGTCTCCCCGTGTCTCCCCCTGTGTCTCCCCCCGTGTCTCCCCGTGTCTCCCTGTGTCTCCCCGTGTCTCCCTGTGTCTCCCGGTGTCTCCCCGTGTCTCCCCGTGTCTCCCCCCGTATCTCCCCGTGTCTCCCCGTGTCTCGCCCCGTGTCTCCCCGTGTCTCCCCGTCTCTCCCCCCGTGTCTCCCCACGTGTCTCCCCCCGTGTCTCCCCGTGTCTCTCCACGTGTCTCCCCGTGTCTCCCCGTGTCTCTCCCCGTGTCTCCCCCCGTGTCTCCCCGTGTCTTCCTGTGTCTCCCCGTGTCTCCCACCGTGTCTCCCTGTGTCTCCCCGTGTCTCCCCCCGTGTCTCCCCGTGTCTCCCCGTGTCTCCCCACGTGTCTCCCCCTGTGTCTCCCCGTGTCTCCCCCCGTGTCTCCCTCACCGTGTCTCCCCCCCGTGTCTCCCCGTGTCTCCCCGTGTCTCTCACTGTCTCCCCGTGTCTCCCCCTGTATCCCCCTGTGTCTCCCCGTGTCTCCCCCTGTCTCCCCCCGTGTCTCCCTGTGTCTCCCCCTGTCTCTCCCCGTCTCTCCCCGTGTCTCCCCACGTGTCTCCCCCCGTCTCTCCCCACGTGTCTCCCCCCGTCTCTCCACGTGTCTCCCCGTGTCTCCCCGTGTCTCCCCCCGTGTATCCCCGTGTCTCCCCGTGTCTCCCCCTGTCTCTCCCCGTGTCTCCCCGTGTCTCCCCGTGTCTCTCCCTGTGTCTCCCCGTGTCTCCCCCTGTGTCTCCCCGTGTCTCCCCGTGTCTCTCCCTGTGCCTCCCCCTGTCTCCCCCCGTGTCTCCCCGTGTCTCACCCCGTGTCTCCCCGTGTCTCCCCGTGTCTCCCCCGTGTCTCCCCCCGTGTCTCAATGTGTCTCCCCGTGTCTCCCCCCGTGTCTCCCCAAGTGTCTCCCCCCGTCTCTCCCCCCGTCTCTCCCCCCGTGTCTCCTCGCGTGTCTCCCCCTGTGTCTCCCCATGTCTCCCGGTGTCTCCCCCCGTGTCTCCCCGTGTCTCGCCCCGTGTCTCCCCCTGTGTCTCCCTGTGTCTCCCCGTGTCTCCCCACGTGTCTCCCCCCGTGTCTCCCCGTGTCTCCCCACGTGTATCCCCCCGTCTCTCCCCCCGTGTCTCCCCCCGTCTCTCCACGTGTCTCCCCGTGTCTCCCCGTGTCTCCCCCCGTGTATCCCCGTGTCTCCCCGTGTCTCCCCCTGTCTCTCCACGTGTCTCCCCGTGTCTCCCCGTGTCTCTCCCTGTGTCTCCCCGTGTCTCCCCCTGTGTCTCCCCGTGTCTCCCCGTGTCTCTCCCTGTGCCCCCCCGTGTCTCCCCCCTTGTCTCCCCCTGTGTCTCCCCTCGTGTCTCCCCGTGTCTCCCCGTGTCTCCCCCTGTCTCCCTCCTGTCTCTCGCCGTGTCTCCCCACGTGTCTCCCCGTGTCTCCCCGTGTCTCTCCCCGTGTCTCACTGTGTCTCCCCGTGTCTTCCTGTGTCTCCCAGTGTCTCTCACCGTGTCTCCCTGTGTCTCCCCCCGTCTCTCCACGTGTCTCCCCGTGTCTCCCCGTGTCTCCCCCCGTGTATCCCCGTGTCTCCCCGTGTCTCCCCCTGTCTCTCCACGTGTCTCCCCGTGTCTCCCCGTGTCTCTCCCTGTGTCTCCCCGTGTCTCCCCCTGTGTCTCCCCGTGTCTCTCCCTGTGCCTCCCCGTGTCTCCCCCTGTGTCTCCCCCTGTGTCTCCCCTCGTGTCTCCCCGTGTCTCCCCGTGTCTCCCCCTGTCTCCCTGTGTCTCCCCGCCCTGTGTCTCCCCGTGTCTCCCTGTGTCTCACCCCGTGTCTCCCTGTGGCTCCCTGTCTCTCCCCGTGTCCCCCTGTGTCTCCCCGTGTCTCCCCCTGTGTCTCCCCCCGTGTCTCCCTGTGTCTCCCCGTGTCTCCCTGTGTCTCCCCGTGTCTCCCTGTGTCTCCCGGTGTCTCCCCGTGTCTCCCCGTGTCTCCCCCTGTGTATCCCCGTGTCTCCCGGTGTCTCCCCCGTGTCTCCCTGTGGCTCCCTGTCTCTCCCCGTGTCCCCCTGTGTCTCCCCGTGTCTCCCCCTGTGTCTCCCCCCGTGTCTCCCCGTGTCTCCCTGTGTCTCCCCGTGTCTCCCTGTGTCTCCCGGTGTCTCCCCGTGTCTCCCCGTGTCTCCCCCCGTATCTCCCCGTGTCTCCCCGTGTCTCCCCCTGTCTCCCTGTGTCTCCCCGCCCTGTGTCTCCCCGTGTCTCCCTGTGTCTCCCCCCGTGTCTCCCTGTGGCTCCCTGTCTCTCCCCGTGTCCCCCCGTGTCTCCCCGTGTCTTCCCCTGTGTCTCCCCCCGTGTCTCCCTGTGTCTCCCCGTGTCTCCCTGTGTCTCCCTGTGTCTCCCTGTGTCTCCCCGTGTCTCCCCGTGTCTCCCCCTGTGTCTCCCCGTGTCTCCCTGTCTCCCCGTGTCTCCCCGTGTCTCCCCCTGTGTCTCCCCGTGTCTCCCTGTGTCTCCCCGTGTCTCCCCGTGTCTCCCCCTGTGTCTCCCCGTGTCTCCCTGTCTCCCCGTGTCTCCCCGTGTCTCCCCCTGTGTCTCCCCGTGTCTCCCTGTGTCTCCCCCTGTCTCCCCCTGTGTCTCCCCCTGTGTCTCCCCCTGTGTCTCACCCCGTGTCTCCCCCTGTCTCCCCCTGTCTCCCCCTGTCTCCCCCCGTGTCTCCCCGTGTCTCCCCGTGTCTCCCCGTCTCCCCCCGTCTCCCACGTGTCTCCCCGTGTCTCTCCCTGCACCTCGCCGTGTCCCCCTGTGTCTCCCCGTGTCACCCCCCGTGTCTCCCCGTGTCTCCCGGTGTCTCCCCGTGTCTCCCCCTGTGTCTCACCCTGTGTCTCCCCCTGTGTCTCCCCCCGTGTCTCCCCCTGTGTCTCCCCGTGTCTCCCTGTGTCTCCCCCCCGTGTCTCCCCGTGTCTCCCCGTGTCTCCCTGTGTCTCTCCCTGTGCCTCCCCGTGTCCCCCTGTGTCTCCCCTTGTCTCCCCGTGTCTCCCCCCGTGTCTCCCCGTGTCTCCCCCTGTGTCTCCCCCTGTGTCTCCCCGTGTCTCCCTGTGTCTCCCCGTGTCTCCCCGTGTCTCCCCCTGTGTCTCCCCGTGTCACCCTGTGTCTCCCCGTGTCTCCCCGTGTCTCCCCGTGTCCCCCTGTGTCTCCCCGTGTCTCCCCCCGTGTCTCCCCGTGTCTCCCGGTGTCTCCCCGTGTCTCCCCGTGTCTCCCCCTGTGTCTCCCCGTGTCACCCTGTGTCTCCCCCTGTCTCCCCGTGTCTCCCCCTGTGTCTCCCCGTGTCACCCTGTGTCTCCCCCTGTCTCCCCCTGTCTCCCCCTGTGTCTCCCCCTGTGTCTCCCCCGTGTCTCCCCCTGTCTCCCCCTGTCTCCCCCTGTGTCTCCCCCTGTGTCTCCCCCTGTGTCTCCCTCCGTGTCTCCCCCCGTGTCTCCCTCACTGTGTCCTTGTTGGCCTGGTTCTGGTACGCGTGGTGCTGGATGTATGCCGTGGCCATGGCCAGGTTCTGTCGCTGGGCCACCATCTCGATAGCTCGCTCCAGTGTCATGTCCTTCACGTCTACAGAGGCGCGCCTGTGGGCGGACAGGTGAGGGAGTGGACAGGTGAGGGTACAGGTGAGTGAGTGGACGGGTGAGTGGACAGGTGAGTGAGTGTACAGGTGAGGGAGTGGACAGGTGAGGGTACAGGTGAGTAAGTGTACGGGTGAGTGTACAGGTGAGTGAGTGGACGGGTGAGGGAGGGTACAGGTGAGTGGACGGGTGAGTGGAAGGGTGAGTGGACAGGTGAGTGAGTGGATGGGTGAGTGTACAGGTGAGTGAGTGGATGGGTGAGTGTACAGGTGAGTGAGTGGACGGGTGAGTGGACAGGTGAGTGAGTGGATGGGTGAGTGTACAGGTGAGTGAGTGGATGGGTGAGTGTACAGGTGAGTGAGTGGACAGGTGAGGGTACAGGTGAGTGAGTGGACGGGTGAGTGTACAGGTGAGTGAGTGGATGGGTGAGTGGACAGGTGAGTGAGTGGACGGGTGAGTGGATGGGTGAGTGTACAGGTGAGTGAGAGGACGGGTGAGGGAGGGTACAGGTGAGTGTACAGGTGAGTGAGTGGATGGGTGAGTGTACAGGTGAGTGAGTGGACGTGTGAGTGTACAGGTGAGTGAGTGGATGGGTGAGTGGACGGGTGAGTGTACAGGTGAGTGAGTGGACGGGTGAGTGTACAGGTGAGTGAGTGGACAGGTGAGTGAGTGGATGGGTGAGTGTACAGGTGAGTGTACAGGTGAGTGAGTGGACGGGTGAGTGGACGGGTGAGTGTACAGGTGAGTGTACAGGTGAGTGAGTGGACGGGTGAGTGGACGGGTGAGTGAGTGGATGGGTGAGTGTACAGGTGAGTGAGTGGATGGGTGAGTGTACAGGTGAGTGAGTGGACGGGTGAGTGGACAGGTGAGTGAGTGGATGGGTGAGTGTACAGGTGAGTGAGTGGACGGGTGAGTGTACAGGTGAGTGAGTGGACGGGTGAGTGGACAGGTGAGTGAGTGGATGGGTGAGTGTACAGGTGAGTGAGTGGATGGGTGAGTGTACAGGTGAGTGAGTGGATGGGTGAGTGGACGGGTGAGTGAGTGGATGGGTGAGTGTACAGGTGAGTGAGTGGACAGGTGAGTGAGTGTACAGGTGAGTGAGTGGATGGGTGAGTGGACGGGTGAGTGAGTGGATGGGTGAGTGTACAGGTGAGTGAGTGGACGGGTGAGTGTACAGGTGAGTGAGTGGACGGGTGAGTGTACAGGTGAGTGAGTGGACGGGTGAGTGTACAGGTGAGTGAGTGGACGGGTGAGTGGACAGGTGAGTGAGTGGATGGGTGAGTGTACAGGTGAGTGAGTGGATGGGTGAGTGTACAGGTGAGTGAGTGGACGGGTGAGTGGACGGGTGAGTGGACGGGTGAGTGTACAGGTGAGTGAGTGGATGGGTGAGTGTACAGGTGAGTGAGTGGACGGGTGAGTGGACGGGTGAGTGGACGGGTGAGTGGACGGGTGAGTGTACAGGTGAGTGAGTGGACGGGTGAGTGGACAGGTGAGTGAGTGGATGGGTGAGTGGACGGGTGAGTGAGTGGATGGGTGAGTGTACAGGTGAGTGAGTGGACGGGTGAGTGTACAGGTGAGTGAGTGGATGGGTGAGTGGACAGGTGAGTGAGTGGATGGGTGAGTGTACAGGTGAGTGAGTGGATGGGTGAGTGTACAGGTGAGTGAGTGGACAGGTGAGTGAGTGTACAGGTGAGTGAGTGGATGGGTGAGTGGACGGGTGAGTGAGTGGATGGGTGAGTGTACAGGTGAGTGAGTGGATGGGTGAGTGTACAGGTGAGTGAGTGGATGGGTGAGTGGACGGGTGAGTGGACGGGTGAGTGGACAGGTGAGTGGACAGGTGAGTGAGTGTACAGGTGAGGGAGGGTACAGGTGAGTGGACGGGTGAGTGGAAGGGTGAGTGGACAGGTGAGTGAGTGTACAGGTGAGTGTACAGGTGAGTGTACAGGTGAGTGGACGGGTGAGTGGACAGGTGAGTGGACAGGTGAGTGGACGGGTGAGTGGACGGGTGAGTGAGTGTACAGGTGAGTGAGTGTACAGGTGAGTGTACAGGTGAGTGGACGGGTGAGTGGACGGGTGAGTGGACAGGTGAGTGGACGGGTGAGTGGACGGGTGAGTGAGTGGACGGGTGAGTGGGCGGGTGGGTGAGTGGACGGGTGAGTGGGCGGGTGAGTGGACAGGTGAGTTAGGGTACAGGTGAGGGTACAGGTGAGTGAGTGAGTGAGTGTACAGGTGAGTGGACGGGTGAGTGGACAGGTGAGTGAGGGTACAGGTGAGTGGACGGGTGAGTGGACAGGTGAGTGAGAGGACAGGTGAGTGAGGGTACAGGTGAGTGGACGGGTGAGTGGACAGGTGAGTGAGGGTACAGGTGAGTGGACGGGTGAGTGGACGGGTGAGTGGACAGGTGAGTGTACAGGTGAGTGGACGGGTGAGTGTACAGGTGAATGAGTGTACAGGTGAGGGTACAGGTGAATGAGTGTACAGGTGAGGGTACAGGTGAGTGAGTGAGTGTACAGGTGAGTGAGTCAGTGTACAGGTGAGTGGACGGGTGAGTTTACAGGTGAGTGAGTGTACAGGTGAGGGTACAGGTGAGTGAGTGAGTGTACAGGTAAGTGAGGGTACAGGTGAGTGTACAGGTGAGTGTACAGGTGAGCAAGTGTACAGGTGAGTGTACAGGTGAGTAAGTGTACAGTGAGTGTACAGGTGAGTGTACAGGTGAGTGACTTTACAGGTGAGTGACTTTACAGGTGAATGAGTGTACAGGTGAGTGACTTTACAGGTGAGTGACTTTACAGGTGAATGAGTGTACAGGTGAGTGACTTTACAGGTGAGTGACTTTACAGGTGAATGAGTGTACAGGTGAGTGAGTGTAGAGGTGAGTGAGTGTACAGGTGAGTGAGTGTACAGGTGAGTGTACAGGTGAGTGTACAGGTGAGTGTACAGGTGAGTGTACAGGTGAGTGAGTGGACAGGTGAGTGGACAGGTGAGTGTACAGGAGAGTGAGTGTACAGGTGAGTGTACAGGTGAGTGTACAGGTGAGTGAGTGGACAGGTGAGTGAGTGGACAGGTGAGTGGACAGGTAAGTGTACAGGTGAGTGAGTGGACAGGTGAATGAGTGGACAGGTGAGTGAGTGGATAGGTGAGTGGACAATTGAGTGTACAGGTGAGTGAGTGGACAGTTGAATGTACAGGTGAGTGTACACGTGAGTGAGTGGACAGGTGGGTGTACAGGTGAGTGATTGTACAGGTGAGTGATTGGACAGGTGAGTGGACAGGTGAGTGTACAGGTGAGTGAGTGTACAGGTGAGTCAGTGTACAGGTGAGTGTACAGGTGAGTGAGTGTACAGGTGAGTGAGTGTACAGGTGAGTGTACAGGTGAGTGAGTGTACAGGTCAGTGAGTGTACAGCTGAGTGTACAGGTGAGTGAGTGTACAGGTGAGTGAGTGTACAGGTGAGTGAGTGTACAGGTGTCTGTACCTGAATCCATTCATATTAGCACCCTTGACTGAACGCTTGGTCACCACGCGAGAGGTCTTGGAGCTATCCACGGTAATCTCCTGCATATGTGGCATTATAATCAACATCATCATCAGCATCATCAGCATCATCACCACCATCATCAACATCATCAGCAGCATCAGCAGCAGCATAAACATCATCATCAGCAGCAGCATCAATATGATCACTACCACCATCACCACCATCTCCACCATCGCCACCTCCATCACCACCACCACCACCACCTCCATCACGTCAATCACCATCACCACCTCCACCACTTCCATAACCACCTCCGCAATCACCACCACCACCTCCATCAGCATCAGCACCATTACCACCACCACCACCACCACCTCCATGACCAACTCCACCATCACCACCACCTCCATCACCACCTCCACCACTTCCATCACCTCCATCACCACCATCACCACCTCCACAATCACCACTACCACCTCCATCATCACCACCACTACCTCCATTACCACTTCCACAATCACCACTACCACCTCCATCACCACCATCACCACCACCATGACCAACTCCACCATCACCACCACCTCCACCACCACCTCCACCACTTCCATCACCTCCATCACCACCATCACCACCTCCACCACCTCCACAATCACCACTACCACCTCCATCACCACCATCACCACCTCCATTACCACCTCCACACTCACCACTACCACCATCACCACGATCACCACCTCCATTACCACCATCACCACCACCACTACCACCACCTCCATGACCAACTCCACCATCACCACCACCACCACTACCACCACCTCCATGACCAACTCCACAATCACCGCCACCACCACCTCCATCACTACCTCCATCACCACCTCCATCACCACCTCCATCACCACCATCACCTCCACCACCTCCATCAACAACAACAAAAACAACAACCGCCATGCGCCACTAAGTGGCGGTGATGTCACCACGACGCTTGTGCCAGGCTATGTGCACATTGAGGCCACGTGAAGTGTCGAACGCCCACTGGCAGGAGGTCACAGGGCAGACCCAGGTGCCACAGGTCGACTGACTGAGATGACTGGCTGATGCACCACCTGTGCCCCCTACTGTGCCAACTTGCTGTGCTTTAGCCACCCGGCGCTCCGCTCGTTGTTGTGAGCATCGCTCCTCTGCCCTCCATTGTTGTTGGAGGGCGACTGCCTCCAACTGCCCAGTAGCGTCCTTCACGAGCCTCCTCCACAGAGGCCGATCTTGACACCGCTGGTAGCGGTAATCGGCCAGTCCACTCAGCTCCACATCCTCTACCACATCACTCCATCTCTTCTCTAGTCCGTGACAGGCCCATTTCGCCCCCTCGATACAGCCGAACAAAACCGGCGAATATTCTCCATTAGGGGGGTCCACGTTCCGCAAGCGTAGAGAAGGGAGGGAATAACTGTGGTTGAGAAGACCTGAAGCTTCGTGCAGAGTGACAGACCAGATAGTTTCCACACAGCAGCGTTATGCAACCGATTAACAGATATTGCCGCTCGACTGATGTTGAGTGAGACCTCTGCTGTTAAACCAGAGCCGGTCATTAGCACACTGCCTAGATATGGGAAACTCTCCACTCTCTCCACAACTGCCCTATCACCAATTGGGAGTTGTGGGGTGGAGTCTCTGAAGGGTACAAAATACCCAGGCAGGTGCTAAGTTTTGGTGGGGCTGATGGTAAGGCACCACCTCTTAATGGCAAGCTCCAGGTTCAGCAGCATCGCCTCCCACTCCACCTCTGAGTGAGCAGCAATTGCCAGATCATCCGTAATACATAATATGGTTAAGCAATAGGGAGCCATCCCTTGACCACACGCGGGCATCGATCAGCCTCCCATGGTATCTGTACCAGATAGAAATTCCTCTGGTACAGCTATTGAAGGCTTCATGAACTACGTGGTCTACATAGATGTTAAATTATGTGGGAGCCAGAGGACATCCCTGTCGCACCCCAAGGTGTACAGGGAATGGCTCTGACTCCCGGCCACGTAGTTTTACCCGGGCCCACTCACCATCATGAAGGTCCTTAATGATCGTGAGCAGAGGGTCAGGGACTCTGAAAGCACGAAGAACAACCCAGAGCCCAGGCCTACTGATGGTATCATAGGCCTTGACCAGGTCAAGTAGAGATGTAGGTCTTGCTGGAATTCCCTACACCTCTGCTGTAGCAGACAGACAGAAAATATGGCATCTGTGCAGGACCGCCCTTTCCTGAAACCGCATTAGGGCTCCGCAAGCCTCTCCTCAGCGCGCCTGGCAAGGCGATGTTGAATAATCCTTGCCAGGACCTTTCCCACCACACTGAGGAGTGAGAAGACCCTGTAGTTGTTACAGTCTGTGTGGTCCCCCGTCTTAAAGAGGGGGACCACCAGGGCATCCTTCCAATCCCGCGGAACCCGTCCAGTGGTCCAGACTGTTGTTATGATGTCATGTAGGGCAGTCTGTGAACAAATGCCACCTTCCCTGAGCATTTCACTTGGTGAGATCATCTCTGCCCGGTGCCTTTCCTGGTCTCAGACTCCGGATCGCCTTCAGTACTTCCTCAACAGATGGCACCTCAGCCAGCCACTCACAGGGGGTGACTACTTCTTCCAATACTTGAGGCAAAGCATCCTCAGCAGGGTCATCCCCACTTTGCCCCATGATGTTTTCCAGGCTAAAGGATTTTCCCTCCCCCTAAATCTCACAGAAATGCTCAGCAAATCTGCAAAACCTGTACCTGTGATTTGTGATCGTGGGCCGCTGAGGCAGACTCCATCTCCTCAGAAATTCGCGACCACCAACCATCTTTGCAGCATCTCACGGCTCTCCGAACCTCTGAGCGAAGGCTGCGGTAATCCTCCTCATTCTCTGACGTGGGATGCTGTAGACTATTAGAGTGGGCCTGTGCTTTTTCTCAACCATCCTGAACACCTCTGTCAGCCAGGGTCTCTGGGGAGGTCTGCACCGAGTACCCAAAGCAGCCATTGCAGCTTTGGGTACTCGCTGGTCCATCACTATGTAGTCCAGCAGATGTTCTTGCTTGGACCTGGCATGCATCCATGATATTGTGTGGATGCTCTGATGCCGGAACAGCGTGTTGGTAATTACAAGCCCATGGGCTGCACAAAAATCTAACAGCCTCCTGCCGTTGTTATTGAGCTGATTTGGCCCATGCCCTCCAATCACTGCAGACCAGGTGCCAGCATCATGACCAACTCGGGCATTGAAGTTACCCAACAAGATGCCTCTATCCCGAGGGGCCACTATAGCCAGCACCTGTGACAGGAGGTCATAGAAGGCATCCGACTCATCGACCTTGCCTGCATCCCTCCACGGATGTTCGTCTTCGGTGGGGGCATAAGTAACCACGACCACCACTCCTCGCCTCTGGTTGATGGGAAGGCGAGCCCAAAGTAGCCTGGGGTTTTACAGCTTCGCACACCTCACCGCCACGCTCCCACACTCCTTGAATTATTTTGTTCAGAAGAAGAGCCACTCCCTGTTGTTTGGCAGTCTCCTGCCCCGAGTAGAGGACTGTCCACCCCTCATGGTGGTCCACCGGACCTCCAGAATACCACAGAGATCCACGCGGTACCGGTCCAGCTCCCAACAGATGAGTGGCAGCCTCTCCTCCGCAGTGAGCGTTCGAACATTCCACGTGGCCACAAGTAGTAGGTTTTTTTTCTGTTCCTGGAGGAGCCCCGAGGGTAAGGATTCAGTCTCCTGGCTCCGCCAAATGGGGTTTGGCCAGGAGACTTCACAGACGTCTGTCCCCCCCCTCCCGGGGCCTCCAGCACAAGCTTATTAATAAAAGTTTTCAGTCACGGATTGGTAGTAATTAATTAAGGAGGGGTTACCAGCCCCTCGCACCCGTCCAGAGCCCCCATCACCACCACCACCACCATCACCACCTCCTCCACCACCACCACCACTAGCACCACCTCCATGACCACCACCTCACCTCGCTCTTCTGCATCTCCATGACGGCCGCGTCCAATGGGCGAACAGCATCCACCTCAACGATCTCCTGGGCACCACCGGCACCACCACCAGCACCACCACCACCACCAAAAGCAGCAGCAGCAGCAGCAGCAGCAGCGGATCCGGAGTCATCGTCCTCATAGATCCACTGTCCACCCTGGCCACCACCGCCCCCTCCATCACCGCCAGCGGGCCCAGTGACAGCAGTTCCAAGGCTACCTGCAAAGAAGCCACCACCACCACCGCCACCAAAGCCACCACCGCCACCACCACCAAAGCCACCACCACCACCACCACCGCCACCACCGCCACCACCGCAGAGGGTGCAGTAGCCTCCGTGACCCAGAGTTCCATGTCGACCCAGCGTGGTGACCACACCACCACCACCACCACCACCGCTGTGGTGGTGATGCCGCCCGTGGTGGTGGTGGTGGTGCTGGTGCTGGTACTGGTGCTGGTACTGGCTGTTGCCGTAGGCCCCGCCCGAGGCTGCGGAGGAGGCGGTGGTGCCGGTGGTGGCGGAGTTGTTGAAGCTGCTGCTGTGGCTGAGGGTGCCCTGCCCCAAGCTGTCACGCATCGAGGTGCGTTGGATGTACAGCCTGGTGTGGAGGTGGTGCAGAGGGGTCGGTGGCAGCGTGAGTGGCAGCGTGAGTGTTGCGGATGTCACGAATGCACCAAGAGACTGTCACCGCATCGCGTGCATTAACGTGCTGAGCACACGGCTGTACACAACACTACTCGACTATGAACTACTACTACACTATACACTACACCACTATACACTACACTATAAACTACTATACACTATACACTACACCACTATACACTACACTATACACTACACCACTATACACTACACTATAAACTACTATACACTATACACTACACCACTATACACTACACTATAAACTACTATACACTACACCACTATACACTACACTATAAACTACTATACACTATACACTACACCACTATACACTACACTATACACTACACCACTATACACTACACTATAAACTACTATACACTATACACTACATCACTATACACTACACTATAAACTACTATACACTATACACTACATCACTATACACTACATTATAAACTACTATACACTGCACTATACACTACACTACACCACTACACACTACACTATTATACACTACACTACTATACACAAACACTATTCCACTATAAACTACTATACACTACACTATACACTACACCACTATACACTGCTGTAAACTACACTATACACTACACCACTATACACTACACTATAAACTACTATACACTGCACTATACACTACACCACTACACACTACACTATTATACACTACACTACTATACACAACACTACGCCACTATACACCACTATACACTATACACTACACCACTATACACTACACTATAAACTACTATACACTGCACTATACACTACACTACACCACTACACACTACACTATTATACACTACACTACTATACACAACACTACTCCACTATAAACTACTATACACTATACACTACACCACTATACACTACACTATAAACTACTATACACTGCACTATACACTACACTACTATACACAACACTACTCCACTATAAACTACTATATACTATACACTACACCACTATACACTACACTATAAACTACTATACACTACACCACTATACACTGCTGTACACTACACTATACACTACACCACTATATACTGCACTATAGACTACACGACTATACACTACAGTACTACATACTACACTATAAACTACTATACACTGCACTATACATTGCACCACGACACACCATTATTCACTACACTACTATATACTACACTATACACTACACCACTATACACTACACTATATACTACTATACACTACACCACTACACACCACTATACACTACACCACTACACACTACTCTACACTACACTACTATATACTACATTATACACTACACACTACACTACTATACACTACACTATACATCACACGATATACTACACTATACACTGCAATTTACACGATACTATTACACTACACTTCTGGCTGGCCATCAAACAAAGATGGCGGTCACCGCATTATCATCATCATCATCGTCGTCATCATCATCGTCATCATCATCGTCATCATCATCATCATCGTCGTCATCATCATCGTCATCATCGTCATCGTCATCATCATCATCGTCATCATCATCGTCGTCATCATCATCGTCATCATCGTCATCGTCATCATCGTCATCATCGTCATCGTCATCATCGTCATCATCATCATCGTCATCATCGTCATCATCATCGTCATCATCGTCATCATTGTCATCATCATCATCATCGTCATCATCGTCATCATCATCGTCATCATCGTCATTGTCATCATCGTCGTCATCATCGTCATTGTCATCATCGTCGTTATCATCATCATCGTCATCATCGTCATCATCGTCATCATCGTCGTCGTCATCATCGTCGTCGTCGTCATCATCATCGTCGTCATCATCGTCATTATCGTCATCATTATCATCGTCATCATCATTGTCATCATCATTGTCATCATCATTGTCATCATCGTCATCATCGTCATTGTCATCATCGTCATCATCGTCATCATCATCGTCATCATCGTCATTGTCATCATCGTCGTTATTGTCATCATCGTCATCATCGTCATCATCATCGTCGTCATCATCATCATCGTCGTCATCATCGTCGTCATCATCGTCGTCAACATCGTCATCATCGTCGTCATCATCATCGTCATCATCGTCATCATCATCGTCATCATCGTCATTGTCATCATCGTCGTCATCATCGTCATTGTCATCATCGTCGTTATCATCATCATCGTCATCATCGTCATCATCGTCATCATCGTCGTCGTCATCATCGTCGTCGTCGTCATCATCATCGTCGTCATCATCGTCATTATCGTCATCATTATCATCGTCATCATCATTGTCATCATCATTGTCATCATCATTGTCATCATCGTCATCATCGTCATTGTCATCATCGTCATCATCGTCATCATCATCGTCATCATCGTCATTGTCATCATCGTCGTTATTGTCATCATCGTCATCATCGTCATCATCATCGTCGTCATCATCATCATCGTCGTCATCATCGTCGTCATCATCGTCGTCAACATCGTCATCATCGTCGTCATCATCGTCGTCATCATCGTCGTCATCGCGCGGCGCTTTTGGATGCGCTGCTGCTTCTGCGGCCGTCTGGAACGCTCTTCCGTTGGGATGTTAGGAGGCCCCTTACGAGCTGTGATGCACTTTACACCATCCTCTAGATTGACGAACTCACTTCTTTAGAACTGCTTGTTGTTGGTGTTGTGTTTAGGTTGTTGTGTTTAGGTTGTTGTTGTTGTTGTGTTTAGGTTGTTGTTGTTGTTGTGTTTAGGTTGTTGTTTAGGTTGTTGTGTTTAGGTTGTTGTTGTGTTTAGGTTGTTGTTGGTGTTGTGTTTAGGTTGTTGTGTTTAGGTTGTTGTTGTGTTTAGGTTGTTGGTGTTGTGTTTAGGTTATTGTTGTTGTGTTTAGGTTGTTGTTGGTGTTGTGTTTAGGTTGTTGTGTTTAGGTTGTTGTTGTTGTTGTGTTTAGGTTGTTATTGTTGTTGTGTTTAGGTTGTTGTGTTTAGGTTGTTGTTGGTGTTGTGTTTAGGTTGTTGTTGTGTTTAGGTTGTTGTTGGTGTTGTGTTTAGGTTGTTGTGTTTAGGTTGTTGTGTTTAGGTTGTTGTTATTGTGTTTAGGTTATTGTTGGTGTTGTGTTTAGGTTGTTGTTGTTGTGTTTAGGTTGTTGTTGTTGTTGTGTTTAGGTTATTGTTGGTGTTGTGTTTAGGTTGTTGTTGTTGTGTTTAGGTTGTTGTGTTTAGGTTGTTGTTGTGTTTAGGTTGTTGTTGGTGTTGTGTTTAGGTTATTGTTGTTGTGTTTAGGTTGTTATTGTTGTGTTTAGGTTATTGTTGGTGTTGTGTTTAGGTTATTGTTGTTGTGTTTAGGTTGTTGTTGTTGTGTTTAGGTTGTTGTTGTTGTGTTTAGGTTGTTGTTGTTGTGTTTAGGTTGTTGTTGTTGTGTTTAGGTTGTTGTTGGTGTTGTGTTTAGGTTGTTGTTGTTGTGTTTAGGTTGTTATTGTTGTGTTTAGGTTATTGTTGGTGTTGTGTTTAGGTTATTGTTGTTGTGTTTAGGTTGTTGTTGGTGTTGTGTTTAGGTTGTTGTGTTTAGGTTGTTGTTGTTGTGTTTAGGTTGTTGTTGGTGTTGTGTTTAGGTTGTTGTTGGTGTTGTTGTGTTTAGGTTGTTGTTGGTGTTGTGTTTAGGTTGTTGTGTTTAGGTTGTTGTTGTTGTGTTTAGGTTGTTGTGTTTAGGTTGTTGTTGGTGTTGTGTTTAGGTTGTTGTGTTTAGGTTGTTGTTGTTGTTGTGTTTAGGTTATTGTTGGTGTTGTGTTTAGGTTGTTGTGTTTAGGTTGTTGTTGTTGTTGTTGTGTTTAGGTTGTTGTTGTTGTGTTTAGGTTGTTGTTGTTGTGTTTGGGTTGTTGTTGTTGTGTTTAGGTTGTTGTTGTGTTTGGGTTGTTGTTGTTGTGTTTAGGTTGTTGTTGTGTTTGGGTTGTTGTTGTGTTTAGGTTGTTGTTGTTGTGTTTAGGTTGTTGTTGTTGTGTTTAGGTTGTTGTTGTTGTGTTTAGGTTGTTGTTGTTGTGTTTAGGTTGTTGTTGTTGTGTTTAGGTTGTTGTTGTTGTTGTGTTTAGGTTGTTGTTGTTGTGTTTAGGTTATTGTTGGTGTTGTGTTTAGGTTGTTGTTGTTGTGTTTAGGTTGTTGTTGTTGTGTTTGGGTTGTTGTTGTTGTGTTTAGGTTGTTGTTGTTGTGTTTAGGTTATTGTTGGTGTTGTGTTTAGGTTATTGTTGTTGTGTTTAGGTTGTTGTGTTTAGGTTGTTGTTGTTGTGTTTAGGTTGTTGTTGGTGTTGTGTTTAGGTTATTGTTGTTGTGTTTAGGTTGTTGTTGTTGTTGTGTTTAGGTTATTGTTGGTGTTGTGTTTAGGTTGTTGTTGTGTTTAGGTTGTTGTGTTTAGGTTGTTGTTGTTGTGTTTAGGTTGTTGTTGTTGTGTTTAGGTTGTTGTTGGTGTTGTGTTTAGTTGTTTTGTCCTTCCCACGCACCTACGATTCGCACGGTTGGCCACGTACGGTGCCAACGAAGTTCAACATACAAACAGACGAACAATACTGCTATACACTACAACAACAACCGCCACTAAGTGGGGGTTACGTAACCACGGCGCTTGTGCCAGGCTAGGTGCACGTTGAGGCAGTCACGTGAAGTGTCGAACGCTCGCTGGCCAGAGGTCACGGGGCAGACCCAGCAGGTGCCACGGGTCGACTGACTGAGATGCCTGAGATGACTGGCTGATGCACCACCTGTGCCCCCTATTGTGCCAACTTGCTGTGCTTTAGCCACCCGGCGCTCCGCTCGTTGTTGTGAGCGTCGCTCCTCCGCCCTCTGTTGTTGTTGTTGGAGGGCGACTGCCTCCAACTGCCCAGTAGCTGCAGCAGCGTCCTTTATGAGCGTCCTCCACAGAGGCCGATCTTGACACCGCTGGTGCCGGTC